AATCAAGTTTGGTACCCATTTATTTAAGTTTTGTACCCACTTAACCATGTTTTGTACCTCATTATTCTGCTGTAAATTTTGTACACACTTATTCAAGTTTTGTACCCATTTATACACGTTTTGTACCTACTTAGGCACCCTTTTATACCTCTTTTCTCTGGATTCGAATATTGTACCTACTTAATCAAGCTTTGTACCCACTTAATCAAGCTTTGTACCTAATAATGCCATGATTTTATTTTTGTACCCACTTATTCAAGTTTAGTACCCACTAATTGCTCGTTTTGTACCCACTTAATACTGTTTTGTTCCTCATTGTTCTGGGGGAAAAAATTAATTCAAATTATCATCCATACATGATTAATCCATACAACCACATTATCATCCATACATACATAAATCTTAAGGGAAAAGTGAATAAATCAAATTGTGAACATTCAACCGAAACACATGCTTTGTTTTGGCCCTCCGTAAACTTTGTTTTGGCGATGCCGTTAACTTTCTCGACCTCCACCAGCAACATTTTTGTTCTACAAAAAAAATTGCAACTTTATCATGACAAATGCAAAGACATTGAAAAAATATTAAATCAAGATTAAGTATAATACCTTAGCTAAAGGACAACTCGTTATATAATGTCCTTTTCCCTTACAAAACCCACAAAATCTTTGTTTTTTTATACTCTTTTCTTGTGCTATCTCCACTCCCGACTTAATTCTAGTAGCATGTGCTGGTCGTCCCTTCGTGGCAACAGGCTTATCTGGATCACGAATAGTGATTTGAGTTGCTTCCTCTATAAAGATGGGTATGGATGAAGTAGGCATCTTATTGCTGGCATTGCTCTCATTTCCATTGTCGTTATGTTCCTTCTCAATCTTGGAATTCTCAACTTCTTCAAAAAATGAGTCTAAAAAAGCACTAAACTTATCATGAAGTGTACTTGAAGTCAATGTATCTTCTAGTGCCTTGTTACATCTACTCCTAAGGGCCCAATGTTTAATGATAGATAGTTGGTCTTCACTATTTGTAATGCAATTTCTAACAACTCCGCAACCAACATGTCTTGCTTTAATTGTCCATCGTTGCATGATATATCTTGATGGAATTTCTAATACTTGCTTCTTTACTAAAATGTGCAAGCTATGTTTGCATAATATACCTTCCATCTCAAATCTCGCACAAGAGCACTTAATTCTTTTTTCTTTGGATGTATCGAAAACAACATGATGCTTTACTATCTTCTTGCTTTCAGCCTCGCTATCTATATTCCAAACGGCATAAGTAGCACTTGCGCCGTCCTTCGACAACTTTTCATGAAGCATGGAGTAACTATCCTTGAGTTCTTTCTGAAAGATAGTAAACAGATTCTTCGTATAATTCTCCCGAGCTTGTTTTTCAATGGGATGTTCAATTATCAATGTAGGAACTGAGTTTGTGGACTTAAAATCTTGCTCAAGTTCAGCGGCTCGGCGAGCTCTGACAGCATTATCATACTGCTTAACAAAATCATGTAACTCGGTATTTACATTCACAAAATGATCAAAAAAAGCATTAATTCCCTCACTCCGCTGAGTAGATGTCATTCCTGCAGTAAAAGTGTCTTTAAGATACACTGGAGCCCAATGATCTCGATGATTGTATAAATTTACTAACCAACTCCTTTTATCTGCACCATATTTGTCCCTCATTTCTTCCCAACGCTTTTCAAATTTTTCTTCCGATTTACTCCAATACCATTTGTTATACTTTACACCAACATCCTCACCATAATCATTATGCATTGATTGAAGATTTTGTAAGGCATTCCTACGAAGGTGCCAAGAACAAAAGCGATGGCGAGTTTTAGGAAAAACTTTGTGAATAGCACCACACATAGCTTTATCTTGATCAGTGATGATTGTTACTGGTGCTATACCCGACATACATTTTAACCATTGGCTAAATAACCATATAAACGTCTCCTCCGTTTCATCGGCCAGTAACGCACACCCAAATAGAGTAGACTGTCGATGATGGTTAACGCCCGTAAATGGTGCAAACGGCAATTTTAAATTGTTCGTTCTATATGTAACATCAAAGCAAACAACATCTCCAAATTGCAAGTAAGAAGTCCTCGACCTACCATCCATCCAAAAAACACTTCTCATCGTCCCATCATTTTCTAAATCAAGTGCGAAGTAAAATTGAGGATCAGATACCTTTTTCTCTTGAAATTGACGAACTATGTTCACGCACTCATGGCCGACGTTGTTTCTTCGTTTAAGTCTAAGTTGTGCTTGGCATTCTTGTTGAGTGAGAGAGCCTTGTTCATTGCCATGAGCAACGTCTACAACCTTACAAATGGCAGAAGGCCGTAAACCTTGATTGTCAAGAGTATCTATCAACCTTTTTGTCGATTGAGCTCGATGAAGTGTCCGATGTGAGTAGTGCTTCTTTACCCGAGTTGGGGTGGTTAATGGATGACCATTATGCTTACTGTTTAACTTTCGGACCACCCATTTTTCAGTGCTTCTATCAAGTCCAATAACCATCCTTGCGTTGCATCCACATCTTGTATCGAACTTTCGAATTACATTCCGACCATCTTCTCTTTTATCTTTTAAAGATTTAAAGCCTTCTTTGTCACATACAAATATTCTAGATAGGATTGCATCTTTCTTTCTCGACCAAGCTGTGTGACCCTTGCGAACACCAAATCCCTTAAGTCTGGCGTATGCATTGTAGAAATTATAAGCTTCCTCATGAGTAGAGAACTCCATTCCGATATATGGATCAACGCTGTTTAAATTATCTTCACCATTTTCAACGCCCATAAGCTCATCACCATTCTCCTCATGCTCGGATGCCTATAAAAATAGAGAAACAAAACTCATGCTAAAAGACAACTATTTTGGTATATGTCATTAGTTAGTAGTACACTATAAACAATAAGATATTATCACCTGAGGGGGAAGCCATGTTGTAGATAGTAGATCATGGTCCTGGCTTTTATCTTCTTCCATTGTTGCCTCACGTGAGAGAATTGGTGGAGTGTCTATACAAGCTATCAAATTATCACATATAAGAAGTTCAAAATCGCTCAAAAAACGTCATCAAGTTGATCTTTCAATTTCACTAAACAATTTCTAAACGATAGTTTAAACCAAATTTAAAGTTTATATCCAATTTAACAATACATGGCAAAAATAGCTCTAAATTATCCGGCTCGTAGCCATAGAGTGAGTGCTGCAAACCAAGTAATGTATGAGCTGAAATTAAAAGGAAGAAGATAGATCCAAGGAATATGCATGAGGGAAGATAGAACCATCATGAAATCCACTAGATCTAACAGGAACGCCAACTAGAACTAACATGCCTCGTAATAGAACTAACATCATCTCCATTAGAGCTAACATGCATCCCGGTAGCATTAACATGCATTTCAGTTAAAACTAACACGTTAATTTAGAGCTAGCTAACATGCATTTCAGTTAGAACTAACACGTTAATTTAGACCTGATGCCTTACCTCGGTGGAGGCGAGCTCGACAGCGGCGAAGTGCGATGAGCCGGCGGCAACACTGAGCGGGGACGGCAAGCGCAGGCTGCGGCGATTTCGTGAGGTGGAGAGGAGGGGGGAGGTGATGGCGAGGATGACGTCGAGGGCTTGATCGATCTCCGGAGGCGGCGATGAACCTGAGGGCTGAGCTCGAATGCCGTCGGAGGCGTGGCTGATGACGAGGGGTGAGCTCGATGGCGAGGACGAGTAGACGGCGATGACCCGGCGGCGACGCTCAGCTGCGGTGATCTCGGGCGCTGGAGAGGAGGAGGGGAGGTGATGGCTAGGGCAAGGGGACGGCGGCGACGCTGATCGGGGACGTCGAGACACAGGCCGAGCTTGGGCGCCGGCGCTTTCGGGCGGTGGTGAGGGGGAGGAGGTCGGTGATGGCGACCGAATGCGCGATCTTGAGCCGGCGGCGACGCTGATCGGGGGCGGCGAGCTCCGGCGGCGATTTCGGGCGCTGGAGAGGAGGAGGCGGGAGGTGATGGCGCGATCTGGGCGGGAGAGATGAGAGAGGGGTAGGGATTTTGGGGGGATGGGATTTTCAACGAAGGGCTCAGATCTCTCTGAGGGGTTTTGAATAAACTGTAATTATCTACTTGATCCCGCACCTTAATCCCTTCTTGCAACTTAAATGAACTGAAACTGTTAAATCTATTAGTTAAATTGTGTGTGTGTGTTTGTGTGGTTTTTTATTATTATTGGAATCATTGTGTTTACCTAACCATGTAATTATCTACTTGATCCCGCACCTTAATCCCTTCTTGCAACTTAAATGAACTGAAACTGTTAAATCTATTAGTTAAATTGTGTGTGTGTGTTTGTGTGGTTTTTTATTATTATTGGAATCATTGTGTTTACCTGCTAGCATAAGACATGTAGGAAAGTTTAACATCACAAGAGTAAAATGTTTTGGTTCTCTTAGGCCCCATTTGGTAAAGGGTTAATGAATAAGGATTAAGGAGAATAATTAACATAGTTAACCTGCTTGATAATCCAAAAGACTAAATTATTAACTAATTATATAAGTTTTATTTTAGTCATTGTGATCATTTTTAGTGTTTGGGAATAACAAGAATTTTGACTTTTTTTATAATTAGAAGTGTTAACTCTTAATCTTTCTAAATAGGAGTATTAGTGAACACCTTCTTTTGAGGAGTTAACTCATTTTAATCACTCTAGAGGAGTTAGCTTAACGCTGTTAGCCAGCCACCTCTTTTGACTCACCAACCCAGCCCACCTCTTTTGACAAAGAGGATTTCAGTGCCGAAATATTTGAGAAATGGAAAAGATGGCGGGTCCTACAAATATTTTATTATTAGTGGCGGGTCCCATTGATAATATTTTATTTGTGCATAGTGTTTCTCAAACACTATAAATAGGGCCCTAAACTCTTAAGGAAATCTCATCGCAGAAACAACTCCTCTTATAGAAGAGTAAGAGAAAAAACACAGAGAGAGTTTGTGAGAGTTTTTAGAGTATATCTGATTAAGAGAGGGTGTTCTCTTTGATCAATTCTTTTGGGATATAAAAGAATTTGGCGTCGTCGTTGCACCGTGGAGTAGCTCCGAAAGAGTGAACCACGTATATCTGTGAATACTCTGGTTGATCTTGTGCCTTTATTTTGTGTATTGCGTCTCTGTTAAAGGCGTTCTTATTGGGGTGTATCCTAACAACTGGTATCAAAACCTGACTTAGAGTATATATATCTGCTTATCGTATGCTCTGTGGCTGTCACTAAAAGTGGATCCTCCACACCTGACTTAGAGTATATATATCTGCTTATCGTATGCTCTGTGGCTGTCACTAAAAGTGGATCCTCCACATCAGAAAATAAGTTAGATTAATATTTACTCTTTTAAGGCATTGGAGTGGATCCTCCACATCAGAAAATAAGTTAGATTAATATTTACTCTTTTAAGGCATTGGATACTATTCACGTGTATGGTACTATTCACGTGTACGGCACTATTCACGAATACAGTACTATTCACGAATACGATACTATTCACCAATACAGTACTATTCACAAATACGGGAAAGACGTAATCTTTCGCCATGGGATCTACAGTTGAAGACAACATGCTTCGAATTGAGAAGTTCGGCGGCCAAAATTTCAGGTATTGGAGGATGCAAATAGAAGACTATTTGTACCAGAAGGATCTCTTCCTACCCCTCCAAGGAGAGGTGGGGAAACCTGAGAAGATGGACGACGATAAGTGGAAGGTACTCGATCGTAAAGCACTTGCCACCATCAGGCTCAACCTTCACCAGCATGTGACTTACAACGTCTCGCATGCGAGTTGATGGAGGCCTTGGAGGCGCTGTATGAGAAGCCGTCTGCTTCAAATAAGGTGTACCTGATGAAGAAGCTATTCAATCTCAAGATGCAGCAAGAAGCTCGCGTGGCGGACTTCTTGAACGAATTTCAAGCTGTGGTGCAACAGCTTGCTGTAGTGGATCTAAAGTTCGACAATGAGATCCAAGCTCTTCTGCTACTTTCTTGTTTACCAGATTCATTGGAGAATATGATGATGGCGGTGAGCAACGCTAATGGCAATGACAAGATGAAGCTCGACACAGTGGTTGGGGCAATTCTGGATGAAGAATCTCACCGCAAAGTCTCAGGAGCTGAGGCCTCTAGCAGTGGGAGTGCTCTTCATGTCGAGGCACGAGGGCATACGCAGAAGAAGGGTTGGGGACGACGAGGCTGATCAAAGTCGAGAGGGAAATCTAAAGGGCCGAACCCGAATGGTTACGGTGAAGGGAATTGTTTCAGATGTGGAAAGAAGGGTCACTTTGCACGGGACTGTAGAGTTTCTGTTCCAGCATCAGCAGGAGATGATCAGGGTGACGGTGCAGCCAATCTCATGCACGAGACGGATTCTGATGCACTTCTCCTATCCCTAGAAGACAAAAGTGATGCGTGGGTCATCGACTCTGGCGCATCATTCCATGCAACCTCACAACAAAAGCTGCTTTCATCGTTCGTGAAGAAGGACTTGGGGATAGTCTATCTTGGCGACGATCAACCTTGCAAGGTTTTCGGGAATGGAAATTGTACCCTCAATATAGAGGGCGGGACCACCTTGACGCTAAATGATGTTCGACATGTACTGGATCTCAGGCAAAATCTTATATCAGTCGGGCAACTGACTGACTCCGGTTACAAAGTATCCTATGAGCAGAGAAGCTGGAAGGTGTCCAAGGGTGCCCTGGTGGTGGCACACGGCAAACGCGAGGGGTCTCTCTACATCGCCAACGGGAAGATCGACCACTTGCTTGCCGCAGGACAAGCATCATCATCATCATCCGTCGACTACATGACTTGGCATCGACGACTTGGCCACATGAGCGAGAAGGGGATGCAGATTATGGCCGCAGGAGAGAGGCTTCCGGGTCTGAACAAGATCGATCTGACTTTCTGTGAGGACTGCATCCTAGGCAAATAAAAGAAGGTGAGCTTCAACAAGACCGGACCGGCTCCAAAACTGTAGAAATTAGAGTTGGTGCACACCGACGTGTGGGGACCTGCGCAAGTCCCATCTGTTGGCAACTCTCTTTATTTTGTCACTTTTATTGATGATGCTACTAGAAAGCTGTGGGTGTTCTTCTTGAAGCACAAGTCAGATGTTTTCATCATCTTCAAGAAGTGGCTTGCCTGTGTGGAGAATGAAACAGACAATAAGCTGAAGTGCCTAAAATCCGATAATAGAGGCGAGTATTGCAGCCAGGAGTTCGAGAACTTCTGCTCGTCCCGTGGGATTCGGAGACTGAAGACCGTGCCAGGCACACCTCAGCACAACGGAGTGGCGGAACGCATGAATCGTACTATCTTGGAGCGCGCCAGAAGCATGAGGATCCATTCCGGATTGCCCAAGAACTTTTGGGCTGAAGCTGTCAATACTGCTACATACTTGACCAACCGCGGGCCATCCGTGGCTCTCAGTTATGAGATACCTGAAGAGGCTTGGACCGGAAAGAAGCTGAAGCTAGAACACTTACGAGTATTTGGTTGTGACGCCTATGTCATGACCAATCCTGCAGACCAGTCAAAACTTGATCCAAAGTCAAAGAAGCTCTCTTTCATCGGCTATGGAGGAGATGAGTATGGGTACCGTTTCTGGGATCACGATGCGTGCAAGGTGGTGCGTAGTCGTGACGTCGTGTTCCATGAGAATGCGATGTGGGAGTCTGCCATGGAGGAAGAAATGAAGTCCTTGATGAAGAATAGGACTTGGGAGCTCGTAAAACTTCCAAGAGGACGAAAGGCTCTTCACAATCGGTGGATTTATCGGGTCAAGGATGAAGCCGATGGACGGAGACGCTACAAGGCGAGGCTTGTAGTGAAGGGCTATGAGCAGAAAGCAGGGATAGACTATTCTGACGTTTTTGCTCCAGTCGTCAAGTTGACCACGATCCGAACTGTGCTGAGCATTGTGGCAGTTCGAGATCTTCATCT